ACTGCAAGGAGATCAAAGCAGTCAACCCTAAAGGAAATCAGTCCTGAATATTCATGTGAAGGACTATTGGTGAAGCTCAAATACTTTGGCCACCTAATGGGAAGAGCCAACTCACTGGGAAAGACCCTGATGCTAGGAGACTGAGGGCAAAAGGAGGAGGCGGCGGCAGAGGATGAGATGGTTGGATAGCATCACTGACTCAATGGACGTGAATTTGCCCAAACTCTGGGAGAGAGTGGAGGAGAGAGGAGCCTGGCACACTACAGGCCACGGGGTCACAAAGAGTCAGACACAATTTAGCGACTCAATAGGAACAACAACAAAGCAGTTACATCCTTGAAGGCTAAGGACAATACATTGCTTTTCAAGGTACTGCTATTTAGCCAATAATGAATTTTATCACTGCCTGCACCTCATGATTTTCTTTCCCCTTCACAGTTATTCATCTGACCACCCAACAATAAGATTTAAAAAGGAAAGCATTTAATTATTATCTCCGACTGAGGAAAATTCAAACCCACAGTATGTTAATAGGGTACTTCAGTTTTGTCTAGATCTACATGGCCACTTGAAAGGTAATGTGTTCTATTTCTCATATTAAATGGTTACAGAAAAAACATGTGAACAAAAGCGGCATCTCTGATGGCTCAGCAGGTGAAGAACCCACCTGCAATGTAGGAGACTCAGGTTTGATTCTTAAGTGGGGAAGATCCCCTGCAGGATGAAATGGCTACCCACTCCAGTATTCCTACCTGAAAAAATGCTATGGACAGAGGAGCCTGGCAGGCTACAGTCCATGGGGTTGCAAAGTAGTTGGACATGGACATGACAGAGCACCCATGCACAAGCAATCAAGTAACTGAGAATCCTTTCCAATTCTTCCTGAAACATATTCACTATGGCTCAACTTAAAGTACTACATTATGACTCTCAAAACATGAAATATATTCATTTTCAAGGATTTAATAAAGCAAAAATATTTCTAGATTATTCCATTTACCTCTTCTCCATTAGCCTAAATAATCAAGAAAAAAAAATTGAATATGCCACTTTGGAATTTCATTGTCAAAACTGTACATTTCCTAATTACAATAAATGTTAAATTTTTTCTATTTATATGTTTTCAACAAGAAGCTTGCAAAGTGGTTGATTTCCCAGGGGAGAAAATATTTCATTAGGGAAAAAAAAGATTATTGTTATTTGATCTTACCCCATTAATATAAACAGACATTTACGTAGCAAAGGTTTAAGTGGCTAGAATAATTTCTCAGACTCAGCATTTTTTACCTCTTCTTCTCTTTCTCCCTCCATTTTTATAGCTACAAAGGAAACTGTCAAGATTCATTTCTAGCTGCAGAGATGGGCAACATATAACACAATTGCTGCATAGTTCTAAAAGCTCTTCATTGGGTTGTTTTTTTTTTTTTTCAAAGTTCAAGTTAAAAAACAGAAGTTCATTTTCACTTTGGAAATCAAACTTGAAAGAAAAATGTGACCTCCCAGAACTTAGTTCCTTCCAAAGAACTCCCTCAAGGACATAAATTGTTAAGACATGGCCACTTGGGGAAAACATTTTCAAGTCTTGTTTGACAGGCAAAGTTACATGGGACTTGACAGGAGTAATTTTTTTAACAAGCTCAAGTCTGTCTTTTCTTTACATGTTCAACATGATTTAAAAACATGTACTTTACCAAAAGCTTGTTGGATTCTATAAACATCTCAGATCCTTTTCCAGAGAATGCTAAGAAGTGGAAAGCATCTTTAATGCTTTACATATTGTTTATTTAACACACACACACACACCATATTACAACAGTAATCAAATGTAAATGCATGCTCATATAAAACAGAGGTAAGTAAAAGCAAAAATACATATAATTATTATAATAAGGGGGCTTTTAAAACTGATAAAACTGCTAACCCTTATCCATTTAAACTCTCCTAGAAAAAAAAACAAAGTGGCACCATAAGCAGCCATCTATTATAAACACTCAGATTGAAACGCTCTGCGTATAGTTGCCAATTGCCCCACATGACCCTGCAGGCTTCATTTTCTCCGACCCGGACTGGACCTCTCAGGGGTAATATGTGCCCACAGCCAAGACTCTGCTAATAAGCACAAGACCTAAAATGTGCCCCATCCCATCATCTGCACATCCTAGAAACCACCCTGTTCCCTGCCTCCAAAACTCTGCACTTACACATCATACTACCACGAAATCATAGTCTATCCTCCCCTCTCCTCAAAAAGGTCTCTGGAGGCCTAACTCAGATCATCCATGCTATGGATGAAGCCGGTCACACAGCTGAAGTGAAAGGGTTGGGAAGACAAAGACTGTGATCTTATATCCTGGTTGTCATTTATAATTCTCTTTCCCACAGCAAATTCTCATGTGATCATTAGACCCTGTGGCACTGCTGGTCTGGGGATTTATCTTTCAGGTTGAACAGGCTTACATTACATTGCCCTGTGCATGGCCATGCTTTGGAAATATGGTTTATAAGAGGAAATGCATTACAAGTTCACAACAACATACAAATTCACTTTCATAGTTTGACAGGTTTCTAAATTTGAGATTATGTGTGTAATAAAATCAACTCATTGGAACTCAACAAACCAAAACCCCTAACTAATGTGATTTTTATCTGGTCCCAGTCTGAAAAAAGGATTCCCCTGGTGGCTCAGACGGTAAAGAATCTTCCTGCAATTCCAGAGACTCAGGTTTGATCCCTGGGTTAGGAAGATTCCCTGAAGAATGGAATACCCACTCCAGTATTCTTGCCTGGAGAGTCCCATGAACAGAGAAGCCTCGTGGGCTACAGTCCCTGGGGTTACAAAAGAGTCAGACACGACACTTTTACCTCACAGTTTGAAAAGAGGAAAAACATCAAAACATCAAAATGTAATCAAAACACCATTTTTAGAGAACATACTGAATACAGTTAATCCAATATTCTAGATTTTCAGAACTGAATTATCATGGTATCTACAACAGTAATCCTGAAGTCCCACAACTACCCCAATTACCAAACCTAACTATTATCCGTCTAGAAAACTCAATTAACCAGAGCACAAGCACACTCACTGCATGCGTGCTAAGTCGCTTCAGTCGTGTCTGACTCTGCAACGCCATGGGCCGTAGCCCACCAAGCTCCTCTGTCCATGGACAGACAAGAATACTGGAGTGGGTTGCCATTTCCTACTCCAGAGGATCTTCCCGATTCGGGGATCAAACTTGCATCTCTAATATCTCCTGCATTGGCAGGCAGATTCTTTACCGCTAGTGCCGCCTGGGAAAACCACAGGCTATAAGAATCCAATCAAATAATTAATGCCAGCCCTTTATACCAACATTTAAGCCCAATCCTTTATTCCAAAGTCTTAACTTTATTTACATTCCAATTTAAAAATATGCTAAGAAAAAGTAAGAAGTTTAAAAAAAAAAATTGTAAGGGCCAGTCCCAAGTACCTATCAGCTAATATTTCTTGTTCATTATGGGCCAGGTACTGTTCTATATATCTCATTTTATCCACACAACAACCATTAACACAATGCCCATTTTACCAAGGAAAAAACATAAGCGCAGAGAGGTTAAGTAATTTATTCAAGGTCACACGGCCTCTCTTTTTACTCTGCTTTGCAGCCATTATCAAACTACTTCAATTATCTTTGACCTCTCCAAATTACAGTGGATTATACAGTACTAACAGCTAATTTATGGATAACTTCCATAAATAAGAAAATAATAAATGGAAAAGCTGAATTATATTGGGTAAAGCAAAATAGGATTCCACCGCCAGCAATAGAACACCAAGCACGCGATACATTCATGCTTATATAGTTTTCTCATGTTTATTCAAATATATACATCCCATCCACAAGTAAAATCCCTGTCTGCCTCAAGTTTTCCTAGTTATGTTTTTTCGTTAGGAGCCACTCACTAAAATATCAAAATGGGGGTTTTATGTAATCAGTATTTAGAAAGAATAATCCTCTCCCTTCAGATTTTGTTTAGAAAGTCCATCCCTACCCTGTGATTGTGGTGAGTCACCTCCCCCCTCTCTAGATGCTGTTTAAAGTTCCTGGGAAAAGGGCAATCAGAGAGGCTGCCCTTAGCCTGAGGACGAGGAGCAAGCCCAGGGGGCAGGTTACTAATCTCCAAACAGGCCAGCTAGCAAGCCTGCCTCTAAGGCGCAGACTGGCAGGATTCGGAGAGTCTAAGGCGAGGCTCTCAGTGTGTGGTAATGAAGCGTGTGTTCAAAAACCCAAATTGCTCCAGACCAGAGGCAGAAGCTCAACCCTCTGGGAATCAAGCTTCTGCAGCACCAGTCACTGCCAAGCACAGGCTACAGGTCTCAGGTATATTCACTCCTCTGGCTCCAGGCCAGCTGATAATGCAGGTCCTCAAACAGATTCAGAATCACCTGGAGGGCTGTTCACAGCAGATTGCTGAGCCCATCCACAGGGATTCTGATTTAGCAGACCTGGGGTGGGGCAAAGATTTTACATTTCCTGCAAGTTCACAGGTGATGCTGATGCTGCTGGCCAAAGAATCATCCTGAGAACTGTTGAATGCAGTGAATGGTTAGGGTCCCAATTCTCACAGTTGCTGCCACCAGCAACCACTTATGTGGTTAAAGGCATTTTCCATTAATAGAGCTAAACTGCTAGAGAGTGGAGTATCAACCAGTTAGTCTCATCACTGCTTCTCCTCCTCCATCACTAATAAGTAAACTAGGCAATTTCCTTGGGGCATAAGCTTGAGATAGTATATTACAGTGTTACAGTATTTAAATACAGCAAGCAGGGGGAGAGAAGGAAAGGGAAGAAGAGAAAATGCCCCCTTAAAACACACCACTAAATAAAAATAAGCCTGAAATTGAATTTGTTCCTATATTATCTCTCTTCTGACACTGATCATGAATGTCTGGCAAAAGAAGAGAGACCAGAAGATGGGAACCATTAACAAAAAGACTTTGTATTGAGAGACTAGATTACCTTTCATCAGTACAGCTCAAAGAACCACACAAACTTTATTAATCCTCTTCAGATTCACAAAAACACTGTCACATGGGCTGCTAATTCACCTCCATGGGTCACGCCACTGGGCTAGTGGCACAGTGATTAAAAAATAACCTGAATAAAGCAGAAAATACCTATTACACCCTAGCCAAATTCAGAAATTTTTCAATATTAAAATGAACAAAAGTTCACAAAACTTAAGGCTATTCACATAAAATGTTTAAACACAGAATTAACCTTTACCATATTTTGTCTCAACAACTTACCAGTTTTATGACTCTGGGCGAATTGCCTCTCTGTGCCACTCAGTAAAATGGAGGTGGGGGTGGTGACATGTCATTCTTACACAGTTATTCTAAGTATTGATGAAACCAGACCATAATAAGTATCCTACAAACGTACGCTACGAAAGTTATTCAGTTGATGTTAACATAATTTTTAAGTGGACTTTGCAATTTCCAAGCAATAGATTTAGACTAATGTAATGGAATGTGAAATGTACTAATGGCACTCAGACATTTTTTTCACTCATTTCACAGCTTCATCCCCTGCCACCATTATCATGGGTGTATTTGCCCTGTCCCCCTATTTTTCCATAGACTATTAATGTTTCAGTTAAACCATCCAACATTTAGAGTAAAAGAAACAAGGTTAATCTTCACCTTTCCACAAAACGAGAACCAAAGCTGCAGCAAGAGCTATTTGACAGACCTTTGTTTTTAAATTCTGGTGAGCCAAATCTAAACAGACCCCATATGCCGCCAAGACCAGGCACCCGGCAAGGCAAGAAATCTTGAGACAGATGTCTCATCGCCATTCTGGTGAACGGGGAAGGGAGATGTTTGTTTTTTAAGGGGAAAAGAGAAATAACTTCAGAGGAAAAATAGCAACATAATATTTATTAGTATGATAGGAAACACTACTCAATTAAAGAACCGATAAAGAAGGAAGGAGACAACTATCTTTCGACTCAACAATCTGTTTGTGGTAAAGATTCAGAGAACTGTCGTTGTGGGCAAACAATCTTAGGTATAAAATATTATGCATTTTTCCAGCAGATGAGGATAAGAGCAAAGACTTAACAATCCACTGGACTAACGGATAGAACTCCAACACATCCTCTCCTAAATACTACTCATGAGTGCAACTGGCAAGTTCACAAATACTAAACACAGAGAAGAAACCCTCGGAAGCAGGAGGAGGAAAAAAAATTCTCTCTGCTTGGTAACTGTGTGAACACACAGGCCCCGGAAAGCCAAAGCCAAGTGAGAGATTGTCAGAGAGACGCAAGGCTCCTCCTATTTAAAACAGCCTCTGGGTGTCGACGGCTTGGCTTGGCGGAAGTTCTCACATAGCTAGGTTTTGAAAGACCAGGACAAAAAATTATATAAAGACAATGATGCCACTGTTCTCTTAAAAATGCTATCTAGTGCTATACTGATTGATAGATAGAGAGAGAGATAGAGAGAGAGAGAGAGAGAGAGAGAGAGATAGAATCTTCCTGACCCAAGGATCGAGCCTGGGTCTCTTGGATTTGGGGCAGATTCTTTACCATCTGAGCCCCAGATAGATCTATACATATTAGCAAAAAAGGAAGAGGGGGGACACAGGCATACTCCAGGTTGTGACCATTTCTTCTTTATATTCTCTGCACTTTACAAGTTTGAAATTTATGATGAATATACACTAATCTCATAATCAGAACTATTTGATGACATACTTTGCAAGGTTGAAAGCTTTTCAACATACATTTATACAAAACTACACTGGCAGGCTGTGTAATTCAATGATTAAGTTTCTGAGTCTACCCTCATGAATAACGCTTAAGTTCATCATTTCTATACTAATTCAGTACCAATCTTTGGTCTTAAGCATACTGACAACCAGGAAAATACCCACATTTGCTTCACGCAAATGTCTGTGAGTGTTATGCTACACTGTACTCTGCACTCAAGGTAGTTATAACCAACCTAGTGAAGCTGAAATACCAAGCAGACCTCCAGATCACATGCATTTATTTAGCTAATGAAGTCACTCTCTCAGAGTAAAATGTTCCACACTGAAATTCAAATGCTGCCCTGTATCAGTAATAGTCTCCTCCCACGTCAGGAAGTAATTCGCGTTCTGCATGCAGGATATCCAGATAAAAGGCAGAAAAAGGCCACTTGTAAACAAACTTAACTTACACTGTGTTCTTACAAACATTTAACAGAAGTACCTCCTCCCTTTTTCGTTCTCAATACAGGAAAAGCTTACTCATCTCTTGGGAGGCTCATATTTTAAATGGATTTAAATCAAAGCACTGACGATAAAAAAACATTTAAGAAGGTGCTTAAATTAACAATCCATTTCAAGGTTAATTAATCTCATTTTTCCCTAATCAACTGCATTCTCTGATGCTCCCCGCTCCCCCCCAAAAAAGCTAATTTTGGTTTCAGAAATAAGAAACTGGTTTAAAATACATACAGAAAAATAATGAAAATAATCACTCTGATCATATATACAAATAAAGGGTAATGAGGAAATTAAAGGATAAAGAAGATAATCCAGAAATTACATATATAGCAAATGGAGGGAAAAGAATATTTTTAAGCTTGCATGGAGAAATTCTGGAAGAATACAGAGAAACTAATAAAAGTAGTTATTCTAGTGGGGAGAGGGGAGGACAAGGTAGATGGGGGATAGAAGCAGGAGTGAGCCTTCCCAAGGCATAACTTTTGTGTATTTTTTTCAATAATGTAAGTGGATAGCCTGTTCAATAAACTAAGTGAAAAACTATGCTAAGATTATTCGGACTGCTCACGATTTTCCACCAACCACAGCCCTCATATAATGCAGATGTACAGAATCCCAGTGGAGTCAGGCGGCCTGGAGTTCCCCGAGACACCACCAGCTGAACACCCTGAGAGCTGCAAGGAGGCACCGGTACCCACGTGGTGGTCACAGGAGCCAGACCATCAGCCGGGAAGCAGCAGAGCTCCTCAACAGTGCTCCTGAGATGCCAACAGAGCCAGGCAGAAATGAGTTATGCATAGCAGAGCCCCCGGAGAAGGAAACGGCAACCCACTCCAGTACTCTTGCCTGGAAGATCCCATGGACGGAGGAGCCTGGTAGATTATAGCCCCTGGGTTTGCAAAGAGACAGACACGACTAAGTGACTTAACCCAACACAGCAGAGCGCCCGCTTAACTCCATCTCCTTTTCTACTCATCTAAGTGCTAAGTCCTCAAAACATTTTTATCGGATGTCGAACACAGCCACGTAAAAGTCCCCCACTATATTTTACCATGTGCTGCTGCCATGTTAATCAGTCAGTTACTACACAGTTCTTCACACAGTACTTTCCCAGCTTTTAATCAGAAGGGGTAGAAAGTAGAGGAAAGAACAAAGAGATTTCTCTGTAGGAATAACCTCAAACAGTTGTCTGTTCTTCCCAAGCAAGGCATTGTTTTTCTTTGGGGGGAGGGGGGATAATGTCTTGTGAAACAAATCAGAAGAATAAAAGAAAACAGAACACTAATGGAAAAAAAATTTCCATCATCTCATGGTGGAGTGAAAAAAATCTTATTCCAGAAGGGTTTATATTTGTGTTTTATTTTTTTTTTTTTAATTTTTTTTTTATTTTTTTTTAAATATATTTGTGTTTTAGAATATAATTTTTAGACGAAGCAAGCTAAAAACACCTAAAGTCAGTATTTTACATGCATAGGAGTGCCACTCTCCTTCACACTTACAGGCAGGTTTTCTAAGTTAGATACCAATTTAAATTGGTAATTTGGAAGTCAGAACAGATTTTCCTTCTAGGCATAATGTTATCAATAATGGTTAATTCCATCCATAATATTTATTTGAGTATCAGATCATTCACACAAAGTGGTAAAGTACCTGAATAAGGACCCTATTTCCCTTGTACCCCTTGCAACTCAGCACTAACAGAATAACCCCAAACACACCTCATGAATGGAGGACTATCCCACCATCTTCAATGGACCAGATTCCTAACCCACAGCACAGGCTGGTGTTTCCAAAACTCTGGTTAATCAGAATCACCTGGGGGTACTTGTCAGCCAGGCGTGTTCCTGGCCTCACCCCAGACTTGCTGACTCAGAGTCTCCAGAATCTCTGGGAATCTGTTTTTAAACAGGGCCCTGGTGCATCTGATGACTCAGAATATGTGGGAAACACCAGATGAATGAAACAGTGCTAACAACCGTTCTGCACCCAAAGGTGCTCAGGGAACGCTGAGATCTGAGCAGAGCCCCTCAAGTTCTGAATGGGGACATGAAATCAGGAAGGAGCAGTGTTTAGGCTCTGACAGTTCCCTGGGCAACTGAGATAAAGGAGATGTTCTTAGAGCTTCCCAAGTGGTGCAGTGGTAAAGAATCTGCATGCCAAAGCAGGAGACACAAGAGACGTGGGTTTGATCCCTGCGTGGAGAAGATCCCCCGGAGAAGGAAATGGCAAACCACCCCAGTATTCATGGACACAGGAGCCTGACAGGCTACAGACTGTGGGGTCACAGAGTCAGAAATGACTGAGCTCCCGAGCCCACACACTTCGAGCTAAGAACCCAGTGGGAGCTCAGTTGGGTCTGCAGCTCCTACAAAGAGAAGGGAGGAAATGGAGGTGCACAGAGCCCCCAAACATTTGCACAAAGGCTCCAGGAGAAGGGCTCGCTTCTCCCATCCTCAACCCTCTCCCACCCTCAGCCCTCCAAGCCAAACCCCTGGAAGGCAGAAAGAAACCACCACCCTTCACACATTTCTGTCAGGAACTACTTGTACTTTAAGACTGGGCAGGACTCTCTGGTTTTCACATGGGAAGTAGCTGTGCATTTATCTCTGACACAAGCTTTATCTTCGCAGTTTCAGTGAACGGCCACCTGAGGTGGCACATGGACATCCACATACAGCCAGATGCTAACTCGGCCTTCACCGTCATCAAAACCACAGCAAAGGTTGAACACACAATCGCTGTGTGCCGGGCACTGTGCTAAGTACTTCAGAGGCACGTCTCCAATTTCTTGGTTATTTGATAATAGTTTGAGAGGTTTAAAACTGAAGAGAAGGAAAAGGGAGAAGGCCAAAAGACTTAAGGCTCCCCCTGACCTCCGA